GGGGCACATTCGGACAGAGGAAGACCAGAACATCTCACAGGATGAGGCGGGGGCCTTCAAGGATGCAGGAAAAGCATTCAAGGGAATGAACTTTAAAGACGTACAGCGGGGATGAACAACAAAAAAATTAGTGAGAAATCAGGACTTGATCACAGGAACACCCCATAACTCAACAAAGCAACCTCAGGCACTCGCCGACGGAGCTACAAACCGCCCAGGGTGGGCAAAGAGAAGAACTGCATCCACCGGGGGCACCAGGGAGGCACCGCGGCAGGTGGGAAACCCTGTGCCGGGAGCTCCACGAGACCCCTCGGAAGGGCTCCCGGGTTGTGTCAGAGCACAATCCTACTGCTCACACACAGCAAACGCCGAATTCTCCATTGGATAAGCGCAGCGCAGCCAACACACCCACTGCGGGTCACCCCAAGGCACGAGCATCTTCCCATTCCCCTCAGCTCTAGGAGACACCAAGGACATCAGAGGCCACAATCGGCATTATTGGAACAAAACCCAAGTCAAGCACAGCCAAACCAGTTGGATGCAACGAAAATATAAAAATCTGAGACCAGGACCCACTCAGGCAGGCCTGCGCCCGTGCGGCGGGAGGAACCCCATCTCCAGCCTCTCCCGCCCTGCCCACGCATGGAAAATATTTTTTGCATTCGCACAACCTGCCGGGCGAAGGTTCCCATTGCTCTTCGGGGAAACCTCCGGTGCGGAGCGGGACACAGCCACCGCCGGGAGGCCGGGACGCGCTGGGTGAGCGGGACAGGCCCTTCGCCCCGAGCGGGTCGCTGCGTCCTCACCCACCGCAGCAGGAGCAAAGCCGAGCGCTTCGGGAGGGGGATCGCAGCCCCCCTGCACCGACCCCCGAGAGGAAGGACGGAGGGCTGGGAAGCATCGCAGCCCCTGCAGGGAAGACAGTTTTGGGGGGGGGTGTCTCCTGTTCATAGCACAGACAAACCCAGAGAAACCCCCAGACCAACACCACCCTCCCATCAAATCTCCCTCGTTCCCCTCCCAGGGCTGCACACGCGCCGGGGCTCCCCACCCTCCTTCATCTGATAAGTATTAAACCAACATTTTTCCCTTTTAGAAAATCCATCAAGTGCTTCCAACCACAGACAGAAGTAGCACCTCTGGCTTGGGAAGCGTCCAGCGACTCACTGCCGGAATCTGGGAGGTTATGTGGGAGGAAATATCACCGTATTTCACCGTTTTCTAATATTTTTTCCCCTCTGCTGAGCACCGTTAACACAGGCTCCTGGCCAAGGTGGACCTTAGCTCTGACCCAGAACAGACACTGTGCTGTGCTCTTCTCCAGCACAAACTACATCCACTCTGTTTTGTATTTTTGACCTTTTTTTTTCCTTTTTACCAAGGTCTGGTTTAATCTACTCCCGGCTTGCGAGGGGTCGGACCATCGCAGGGTAACTCGGAGCTTTTCTTGCCAGAGAAACCCAGGAAGGGTGCCGGGGATGGGAGGAGCCGATTACAGCTGCTTTCACATATTTAGAGTAAAGAAAAAGGTTCTTCTGATCGAGGTACAAGACAGACACAGGAAAGCTGGAATGTAAACCCCAAGGTTTTTCTGTTTTCCTGGGCGACCTCTGGGCCCGCGAGGCCGGGACAGTGCAGCCAAGGAGCTGCGGCCGCAGGCGGGGGCTCGGCCACCCCACACTAACACCTGAGGGGTGTTAACCCCAGCGGGGCGACGCGGGGTTTGTATCCAACGAGGGGCTGGGACGACAAGCAGGGAAATCAAGGTAGAGAAACCCTTCCTCTAAGTAGGAAGAAATATGGGAAACAGCCACGGAATTTCAGGGGGACTTTGGAGAGCGCAGAAGGGTGCAGGGCCCTGCGGTGGGCTGGGGCCAGACGACACTTCCCCCTCCCAAGGGACAGGACTTGCCACTCCTCTTCCCGCAGAGCCCCAGGAGCAGCAGGACAGGGGCTGGAAGAGGCAGGCAGCCTTCCCTCCTGGCTGCACTTAGAAGAGCTTTTTTTTTATTTATTTAAAAAGAAAAATCACAAATGCTACACAGCTGATTTCTCCCTCCTCCCCACTCCTAGAGTTTTCCATGTAAAACCTGAAGCACAAGGGAGTATTTCTGACACAAACACAGTTTTTCCCCCTGGAGCCTGCTCTCCTCACGACCAGGACCCCAACGACCGGCACCACGCACCCGCCTGCACTCCCCATTTCCCCTCAACGTCACCCACACACCCAGAGCTGACGGAAATCAAACCCCGCGGACGAAGCAACACGAAGGAGAGTGCAATGAAGGCGTTTCCAGTGAGGACACAGTTCCTAATATCCAGTTTGGGACTCGCTACAGTTTGATTGGGAAGCTAAAAACAGTTATGCAAAACTTGAAAACATTTTACGTGTAAACCAGGCCCTTGGTTAACAGAACGGCAAGTTCGTGGCTATTTTGAGCCTCTGCAGCCTATACAAAAGCTGCCAGCAAAGGGGAAGAAGCCTCAATATCGGGTCACTTGAAGCTAAATTAAAATAGTAGAGAAGGTGGAAGCTGCTGCCTGAGCAGGGGCAGGCTGGCAGGGATGGAAGGACATGTCCTCCTCAGGTGGAACCCGCCCGTGTCTCCAGGAGAGCCCTTAGAACACGGAACGCTGCGGAAGGTCGGGACTAGGGCAGACAGCGGCGGCTGCAGCCAGAGCCCCCAGCACCTCCCGCAGAGCACGGAAATCCTACGGCTACCGGAGGGGGCTGGGAGCAGAGCCACCTGCACCTCCAGCAGCTCAGCATCTCTGCTGCCGAACTGCAGCGCCCCAAAACCGCCCCGGGGACCCCCCTGAGCGCCGCGGGGGAGCTGGCGCGGCTGCCCTCCCCTCCTGCTGCACCGGCTGCCTGGGAGCACCAGGCTGGAGCCACGGCGGGCTCGCCAGGAGCCCGCGGGGACCACCAGCACCACGGCACGCAGGGGCTCTGTACTCCCTCCTGCTCAGGCGCCCCAGCTTCCCACACCGCCGCCCGGCGATGGGGACATGTCTCCGAGCCCAGAACCCCACTCTCCCCAGCTCTACCAGTGGGTCTGTCATCTGGCGAAAGGCACTGGCGCCCACCCTCCTCCTCCTCCCGCCACCCTCACAGCCGGGACACAGAGGGCAGGAGGTGGGGGACACGTGGGGGCCGCTCAGCTGCGGCGCTGGAGGCTCCTCATGGCCCCAGGCCACCGCGGGGAGATAAATCCTACCAAGCACGACCCTCCGCAGCGAGATTTCCTAAACCCACACTGAAATAAGGACAAACAGAAGAGCAAGAGCCTTTGAAAATGAGTTTGTGAACTGAGGCAGGAACATTAACATCACTCTTTGGCCGACCAGGAGGGTACAGGATCAACGCTTTCAGGGAGAAACCTTTTCTTAGCCCAACACAAATGCACAGCACCACCCACCATTTTCTATTTTCATTCCTCATTTACTACATGGACTTCGGACAAAGATTAAAACTTGATGGAAAGACAAGAAGCCAGGGTTAGACAGCAGCTTTATTCG